ATATCACCCACAGAATTCAGACATTAAAATACATTGGTTGAGTAAATTCGACGAGTATATTTATATCGTGACCGGAAAACGTAGACGACCGCATTGAAATACGGTACCCAAACCGATAATTTTTAAAGCAATATTTGTTTAACTATACAGTATAAGTTCCATATATTCACAATCCGGAAAAATGGGAGACCGCATTGGTTACGTACGGTATACCTGAGCCTACGTTCGCATGTAGATATAGGTGATCCGGATACGTGTCATCCGCGATAAATTGTTATCGTCGCCATCGTCGTATATAAAATAATATATTGGCGCTACCCTTTAAACTTTCATACGCAAATATAGCTACTAACGAGCCGTGTTACAGCCTTATGAGAAAATCGTTTAACTCTTTCATCCTTGTACCGTTGCACAGACTTTATGAAACGCACAATTATTATATTATTATATTATTTTAAACGATCTGCGTGTACCATCTATATATGCTATCTATGGTAGATCGTAATCGACGCAAGATCGCACGCGGCAAGTGCATTTCTCACATGCAACTACCTTTTGTGCTGCGTCTGGTCGTCGGTGATTTGGGTCAGAGGCTATTCTTCGGGTTTCCCAAGACACAGTCATATAGTATAGGAAACAAAACGTATCTCCGAGTGTGATATGTGAAAACCGACGAAAAAGTCTATACTGCTGAATACGATTACGGCGATATAGTTTCGTACGTTATATTATACGGAAATGGTGAAATACGTGTGTGCACGTATATGCGCGTTGGGTGGCTCCGCACATGGGTATTATATATGAGGTAAGTACCTACAGGTTGCAGTCTGTACCCGGCGAAGACACGCGGAGAACGCCAAAAAATACTTTCCGACAGACGTCTATGGCCGTCAATGCCCATCAACCAGCCGAAAAAAACAATTTACTCCAGATGCAAGCGCGTACCATATTAGATATAGGTGTATAATATACATTTTATACATGTATACATAATAAACTATGCACTTAAATGGCGAGCGCATATATACGTAGAAAGCGATCGCGTCGGCCGGTTAAGGGCAGGCGACCGGTTTAGTGAAAAGTGAAATTATTACGAGGGAAACAATAATAATATCAAATCTATATAGAAGCGTATACGCATATACCCATACGTACCGGCCCGGCAATAAGTGTATGTATATACGAGAACATGCGTATGGAAAATTCGTCCGAGTTATAATGCAATTAGAGAGTGTAAATGGATATATTCATGGGTGTTCGGATACATGATACACAATTGTTGTATACACATACGGTTAATATAATAATGACAATATGCGTGCACGGGATAAGCAGCGCAGAATGCACTATTATACTTTCACTCGAAAATCGAGTGATTTAAAAAAAAAATAATAATAAAAACTAGATCTGACCGCATTATTGTTATACATTATTATTATTATATTTTGTTGTGTCCGTTTGTACCAATGTAATTTTATATTTTTATTTCATTAGGTACACAATATAATAGTAATATAATATGCCTACTACTCGTCGAATAGCTGGAAACGATTGAAATCTCCGGGATAGGATATAAAACGCCCGTGAACGCTGAACCTTAATTATTATTATAAATAAATAGAGTCAGATTTTTTCGTTAGATTATTGTTCCAGTCGAACCCTAACCTGTCCACCGTGTTTGGACAGTGGAACGAGTCAAGAACAAGGTTACTATATACTAGGTATATAATTATGTGTGGGTAGGTATATAGGAGGTACCATCTATACCAGCTGTACGAGTAGCTGTTATCCGCGGCGCCGCGCCGCGTGATTGGCAACTGTGTGAGTACCTAGCGTCTATAAAGACTTTACCGATAATCGATTTGTATTCGACGTTGTCACTGTTTATTAGACGGCAATAGTTGTCGCTTTACAATAAGCTTTACCTGTACATATAAGTGGTATAGCGGTGGCACATATACATGTCGTCGACGATTAAGATTATCTAATTACGACGACCACAGTACCGTGTCAATGCGTCGGAGACTATTCTAATTTTAAACTTATTATACTGCTATCAGCTACCCGAATTAATTCACTACCATATAATAATATTATAACTATTTTGTGGCCTGCATTGTTCGATAATAATTAAATTTTTGGTATACCCGTGTTCAGTTATACATCGGAAAAAAAGAAAATTTTAATGGCGTTTAAACGGTTATGCGAGTGTAGGGTTTCAAAGCGAAAATAAGCGCAATACTTTCACATTTGGGTAACTGATGCGAAAAGTCAAATTATTATTAGATTGTTATAAGTGCTTCAGTGTAGTTGCGTATATTGTATGCTATATTTGCATGCGACAACTGGGTGTCGTTTTACGGTTCACTTTTATTTTTACACTCGCGTGTATCATGGTAGGCGGGTAGGCATAATCATAACATTATATACAAAGTACTTTTTAAAACGAAACGAAATCAAATCAAACACTTTTAATTTGCAATATTATTTTAGGTGTATTATTATATAGAACGTAACAATAGCATGAAATTAAATTATTTGATCGAACCGAATTATCACTTGTGATAATATACTCTATAATATAAAGTCTGTATTATACTGTTACGCTGGTATGAGAGAACGAATATAATAGGTATGTAGGCGAAAACGCTCACGCGCGTTCTGTACTCGAATTAGAAAAATATAGTTTACATTTGGATCAATACATGATCACGATTCACGAATGTCACTGAAACAGAAGACATCTTATTGCAATTTATCTGAGTTTAAAGACACACTGGACTATTAAACATAAACTATATAGAATCAATATGAATAGACGTTTAGACACGCTGTAAAAATGTATATTATTACAGTAAAAAGAAAAATCATACATCGTCATAACAAATTGAGAATCGCGAATAAATAATAATATGCAATATGCATGTATTACATATCATGCAAAAGTGTGAAAAAACTAATGGTACGATTCATATCAAAATTGACAGATACAAAAAAACGGAATATAGAATTAAAATCTTTACCGTTGCGACGGACAATCTAAAATAGGCGATGTGGTTGTATTCTGAGATAATTTTATTTTAAAGTAACAATTTGTAATTTTCGTGTTAGATGAAGTTTAAAAAAATTTTAGGTAAAATTATATAGAGAGAATTAATTATATTATAATATATTTCTGAATAACATAATAATAATAATTATTATTACTTTAATTTAAAAAAATTATTTTTTTTTAAAATAATTAAATATTAATATAATTGTTTACAATATTATTTTCAAATTAAACAATGTTACAGATATATTAATTTTTTGATACTTATTATTAGTGGTTTAGAAGTGCAATTAATAATATTATTTATAAACTATAGAGTTGTGCACAATTATTTACCTAACATAATTTTTTGGTTTGTAAAGATAAATACTTTTTATGTTTTTGTTGAGATTAATAATTCTTTAATAATAATATAATGTACTATTATACCCGATAAGGCAAAATAACGAAAATCGTGAAATTACGTAATATGATTTCTAAACAATAGATCGTTTGAGAAAAGCATTTAGTAAAGCACAAAAATCGTTGTAAACATTTTCCGTAAACTCGATCAGTGGTCATTAAAATACGTATCTATGCCATATACGCATAATATTATATTATTATCCACAAGAAAAAATAAAAAGGACGATCGAGGGAGACTAATGACTGTTAAGATTTCAACGATTTTATACATCTAGCCGTAGTCATAAACTAACATAGAAAATGTATGTTTTTTTACACACGACTCAAATAATAATAGACATCGACGCCAGTGGATAAAATCCGCATAATACGTTTGTGTCTACATGACTTTTCCATTCGTCGAAAACAAACACTATAGGTACTATACCCATATCGGTCGAAGTCACTACGAGTAAATAACTTTTTAAAACAATGAACTATAAAACGTACATATTTATTATCTTCGCGGGATTTTATTTAATGCTCACGATTATACTTTTGAATTCTGTAATTGTTAAAATGTCGGCAAAATTAAATACACGGGTTCCAATGTGTGCCACTATAATATGCACGTATAATAATTTTATGTATAATTCAGTAAAATTTTCTATTTAACCATTCGGTCTACGGTCGCCGCGGCAGTACACGCGGCCCTCGATTTATTGCATACGCCTCTTAATGATAAATAATAATATTTGCGAGCGTTAAGTATACAAGCACATATAACGTGTATATATTTTAGCCCTGACCGATATATTATTTCGATTTTACCATCATATACGTAAGAAATTTGACTGCTCGGCCGTTTCGATTGTGCCTGTATATATAAGTGTTGTATATTATACCTATCGCTATATCATCGCAACGGATTGATTGCTCACGTTTATCCGCTTCGACGTAACACGCGCAATAATAGCAATATGTAAACGAGTCGTGGGAGATCGCGGTACTCGGGTTTATATGGATCATAATGATAATAATATGATTACCTACACCACGATGCGTATACAAATATCCCACCTATTAAACACGGGATCGAAATCCGTTTCGGATTGAGATATTATGAAGTATATCTGTACAAGATTTCATTTTAAGGCGGTAAGTGTGAGAGTCGTAAACGAAAACGGATTTTAAAAACGAAAACTCGAGCATAGAGGTGTTGATGGTCGTAGACGAAATCGCGCATACACGCATCCCGATGTAAGGGCAGTCAGCCGGGCACACCGAAATCAAACTATACCTACTAAAAATGTAGTAAGCAATTGGTAGTGATTTGTAACGTAAAATCTTAACTCGGAAATCGGCGTTTTATTTCGCTGGTGCTGGCATCCCGTATTCAAAATGTTCATTTTGAACCAACCCGTAATTCAATCTACGGCATTTTAATATAACATATAGATACTTATCTATATTATGATAGTTACGAAGATCGCACAATTATTTAACAGTATATAATATTATATGTTATAGTTTGGCAGACTGCTTGCAGCCCTGTTGCACTTACCTGTTGCGGATCGGGATGTCGTGCGAAGGATTCCGGGATCGTATCACTGCTACACAGGGAGCGGTGAGACGTCAGTGGTCGGCGGTCGGTGTTCGGTCGCGGATCACTCACGATATCATTCGGACTTGTAATTTTTTTTTATAATAATATAATATCGTACAAATGACGATTGCGATATGTCGTAGGTATAAATATATTATACAATTTGCGTGGTAACAGAAATTACTTGGGTTGGTATAATAATTAATGCGATATCGTTGGTATAATAATATGTTATCGAGGCGACGCGGATATTATTCGGCGTATTCGACGACCGTCGGTCGTTCGCGGACGAGTGATACCCGGCCGGGCGCGCCATCCTGGTTTTTACCCGTCTCCGCGAGACGGCCGCGCCTCCCACCCCGGCAGCGACAGGTAAACGGCGGCGGCAGGACGAGCGCGTATAATATTATAATATTACCATGCGTTCTGTCAGACATGTGAACGCGCTTTTTTTCCCTCTTCTCCTAAAACTACGTATAATATTTACAACTATTAGGTACCGCCGATTTTCCCTTCCTTCCGGCTAGTTTTTCCCATACGAGTCGCGAGCTACGAATAAAATATATTATTATCACAATACATTATCTCCGTTTCCCCGACACTTTCCCCTTCGTCAACGGCACGCGCGGTGCGTACATAAACCAACTACAACATATAGGTAGGTACAATATAAAATATCTTATCGTTTCGATTTCGGAGACTCGAAATTTTTCGTATGATTTTTTTTCCGCCGACGCCGAGAGTTTGGTGCCGCCACCGCGCCGCCGTCGTGACTCGTGGGCGTGACGGCGCCGGACGTCGAGGCTTCGAGTCCCTTCGAGAAATCAGTTCCGACCTTGAGCGATTCGTTCACGCCACTTCTGCACCGCACACATACCGTATCGTTTAGGTATTTACCTTCTTACCTATATAGGAATCGCGAAAGTCGTCGTCCGACTTTTAATCATCAGATAATTTAATTAAACGTAATATACTAATATGTTATTACACGTAGAATCATAATAATATATTATATCCGTATAGGAAGGTGTTTCGACGGGAAGTGCGTCAAATCCTCTTCACCTTATTTGGTATATTATATGACTCCTATATCTGAACACTGCACGTAGACGACTAGTTTTTGGTTACGTTTTTCAATCATTTTAAGCTACTTTCGCGAGTATATGTGTTGTTCGTATTGTATATTCCACAAAGTCGTGTTGCAGACACGATGAACTTGTGAAAATATATTTTTACAGGTAATTTTATTTAAGGCAATTATTATTGCAATTTTATTTTATTTTTGTTATTGATCTAATTCAATTTCAGCAGCTAAGGTTAGGTTAGCTTTTTTCCGTTTTATTACAACAGCCTCTTTGAGGGGGGGGGGGAAATAAGGAGATGAGGTTGCTAGAATATATCGAGATATATCTGGTCTAACTGATTCGTATAGGTTTGGGTTTATTTTGTGTTTGAGTCTTGATTCTTCATAGGATCTGCATTCAATGAAAATGTGTTGTGGTACAATCATTACCGCTGTCCACAAAACAACTGTTGCAGTTAAATACAAAATACAAACCTTTTTTAAGTGTGAACAGTTGTATGTAATAAAAAAGACAACGACTGTCGACTATTGAACCACCTATTTGAGAAACGAAATAAGTCACAAAATATCACAAATTGAGATATTGAGTGGAATGTGTTATCAAATGATAAACGGCTAATCTGTGATCAAAAAAAAATTTAAAAACTGTAAATAATCAGTATGAAAGAGAAATAACTATGTATTACTGGTAGCATAAAAACAGTTTTTTCTTGTTTTCTCCGAATTACCTTTTATTGACTTACGTCGTATCTAAAATAGGTGGTTCAGTTATAATTTGTTTGAGATTTTAATGTTGCTGCACTTAAATGCAGTTTAAAATAATATTTCTAATACAAAAATACCTACATTACACGCCGTTTTAAAAAACATTAATATTTTCACATCCGTGAGTTTTTAAAAATTTGTCTTTCAAGAGTATCTTATTGTGTGTAAATCTTATCAAAATATTTTCATTTCTAACATTAGTGCATTAATGATGCATCATCATTCAGGTACGCCTTGTCCATAATTTTAGCTTTCTTAATTATTATCACACATATGTAACTTGAGAATAATTTGAATACAACAAAATAATGCATTCTTATAAATTATAACTATTGTTGGAACTATTTTTCTATTTTTATACTGCAGTCAGTTATACACAAATATATGATTATTAAAGTGCAAAAACTAAGCGTAGTAAGTTATTACGTAATCCAAAATGAACGAGATCTTTTAATAATTGTCGACCAATAATAAATTTTATTGCGACATACATTCCTTTTTTTAATTACAATGAATTAAATAATTACAACTGATACATCAATAGGTAGTATACTTAATAACAATTATATAATTACTCTGTACATATTTGAAATCCTTGGTCCGGAACTTCAAATTCCAATTATAAGTTAAAATAGCCAATATATTGTCTAGAAATCGGAATTGGACAAAATTAATTAAATATATTAAGCTATAGTACATTTAATATTATTATTTTACTCTATATAAAAGTACAAAAAAGTAAACATACTATAACAAATGAGCATGATTCTGAAAAGAAAAAAAATAATTATCCCAAGTCATTGGTAATTTTTACCTAAAATACAATAATTATTATTGGATTCAATTTTCTGAGATCTCTATCCCCATCATTTAATACTTAAGTATAATTTAATAGGCAATACAATAATTACTGGAGTATGATTTTCTACACTGTACTAAACAACTTTGACTCTCAGCACGGGTCATTAAAATTCGACAAGTCTTAATGAGTTTTATAGTTTACAACTATGTTTACATAAAACTGGTATTTTTGTAACAGACTATGCATGTTATTTTTATGGTGTAAATTAATGTAGAAAAGAGAAAATTAACTTGCTGTCAGAGTTAACTTACTTGATTTAAATTATTTAAAAAATGAAATTTTTCTGCCGAACAGCTAATAATTTTTTTTAATGAAATTCTCAACATCCTTTTTAAATTCATAACTTTGAAAATTATATTGCCAAGCCAATACATTTTTTATTGTATGCAAATTGTACTTTAGTCTTAGACAGATCAACGACTTGTAAAAATTACAAATATAACACAATTCATAATATAATCAAGAATTTTATTATTATAGTTTTAGTTATACATTTTTAGCACCGATTTGATTTTGATAAATTAAAGGTGTTGGTACCTATCAATATCTATTTATTTATTATTTAAAACTGATACATGAAATTTGTACGGAAAAGGTAATTGAAATAGAAAATGTCATTGAAATGTTAAGATATTACATGTTACAAACTGTATCAGTGATATATTGTTATATAGACCAAGGCCATTATACTAATAATGGGAATAATTCTTTTGGTTTTAACACAATTATTTTAATCTGGTTCGACATCTGATAACGCCAAAAACAACAAATTTCTGCGTAAAGTGATTTTTTAGTTAACCCACATATTCTTCACATTAAGAAGAAACAATTAGGCAAGAATAAAGTGGCATTGTGCTAGCTTCAATGTAAAGTGGAAAAAACGCAACCGTGGGACGTCCTTAATGACTTAGGAGACGTTGTCATTTACTACAAAAGTATTATGGATTTGAAGCAAAAAATTAAGTTGTTAGTGCAATAATTTTTTCACAAACTGAAATAATTATTTTATGATATATATTTAGTGTGACAAGCTTTGTTAAAAATTTGAAATATTTTTGAAACACTATCAGTTTAAAATCCACTTATTATAATAATATTGACAACTATTGTTTTTTGAAGTTTGAACCCGAACTCGACAAAGCCAAAATATAAATGTTCAAAAAACACTCATTTTTTTGTTCCTGGTTTAATGGAAACTTAACAATAAAAATTATCCTTTCAGTATGATTCATTACATAAACGATTTTTAGGTGTTTAAGCTACCTGGCTTACTATGAGTTTGGCTTCCCCGATTAAAACGTATAAATTAATCAACTTTGAGTAGATTTATCATAAAGATTCGCGAGGACTACTGGGGATGCTTTTTATAAAAGATACTAGTCTTTTATTACCTTAAGAAAATTGAATACATCACATTCAAATGTCTGCCTTAATTATTCTATTACTATTCTTAATAATATACATACCTAAATAGGTACATTTATAATATATTAAGTAATAATAATCAGAAATACAATATAAATATTGTAACGTCATTCACCTGGCATAGGACTGAACTATAAATGAAATATGTAATGTTTAATGTTGACTATTGTTTTTAATTTGTAAAAATATATTTTAGTTCTTCGTTTATTCCTGCCTTTGACGAACCTGATGTTTATAAAATATATAAAAACCAACATCATAATAATAAAAAAAAACATGATGTCGGATTTAAAAAATAATTAAGTGAGTCCAAGCCACCTATTGCAATAGATAAGGCCGAGATTTGAAAGCACTAAATAATTTCAAAAAACCATTTTAAAATGCATTATTTTCTAAAAAAAAAACCGTTAAAAAATGTATTCTTTCAGTTTAAAATAGTTAAACGATGATAAAGTGTTGTACAATAATGAATTATATTTTAGAATACAGTTTAAAATATTAATAACACTAAAAGTGTCCACCTGTTTTTATCGCTTCTTTGTTTATTTTGGGATACACGAAAACGATGGTCAGCGTGTATTGCATATCTACAATTTCTACATACACATTCTACACCATCTGATATTTTGACCATAATGTACATGATATTTACCAATATACTGGTTTTTATTACAAAAAATACTTTGGATAATTTTGTATAAACTAATTTAGTAATACAAGTATATTTAAGAAAACAATTTGTAACCACACATCATGCTAATAACCTTAATTGTTGAAACGAATAGATTATTTACGTTCACCGTTATTGTAAAAAGTATGATCAGTAAAGTATATCAATAAAAGCAAGATAAAAATATTATTAATATAATCAGTCAAGTGAAGGTTCACATTTTTCAATAACGAAGCTACGTTTTATAACACCAGAAAAAAATGACATAGCATCAAAACCCCAGTCCCATAGTAATAGAGCATAAATTATTTATGCCTATAATTTAATAGTATAGAGCTACCTATATAGACGTTCAAATAAAGTTGTATTCATAAATATAGGTAAAGAAACTCTCCATCACCGCTTAATTTATCATTAAAAACTCCTTAAAAAAGATGCGTCACATCATGTTAAACAATCTTCAATCTCAACAAATGATATACACGGCTTACGTAAAACTGGAAATAATTTAAT